CTGCTGTCATTGCTCAGTATGGTCTAAAGAAGCTCTAGTAAATTTTATCATATATATCCAATACTCACTAATCACTGGGAAGTTACCAACACCTCTCTATACTAAAGGACATTGTTGTGGCGCTTGACCACGGGTTAGTCATTGTGTAGTTCGTATGCGACTAACGTAAAGAAGTCGCATCATTTGCAATTTTGATTGGACAATGTTAAAATGGTAATTGGCATGTAATTTTATATTGAAACCCTTTCTTTTTGTTTTATCTTGTTAGGTTCGGTTAAAACTAATTCTAAATATGTATACCGGCTTGTCCAGGTTAAATCCTGTTACCGATTAAATACGAATATTAATGAAAGTTCTAAGTTTCGAAATTTGTTTGTTTGCATTGATTGAATAGGCTTCATAACTACTGGACCTATTTTAGAAATTCTTTCACTCAAGACAAGCTATATCATACATGGAAGATGGGCCCGTTTTCACTAACCTATACTCCATTCATTATAGCATTAGACAGAAGTGAAATAAGGTTCTTTTTATGGTATACTTTGTGACAAAATATCAATAATCATGTTACTTTTAAGACTGACGGCTAATTTGCTACATATTCACTTAAATATCAGCTGCTATACTTAACTGTTGTCATTTAAGCTAACTATTAAACAAATTTATGAGTATATGACTAACTTAAATGAATTAATAAGTATTACAATAAAAAGTGTCCATCGTAAAGAACCTAAAGAAGCAGGGTTAGATAGTTTCGGCATGATTCTCATGTCACTATAACTCTACCAAATTTAAAACGTTGCCTAACCCCTTCAATCGTTTCGGTAGTACCTACAGCTTTTTAATTTTGTCAGACTATTATTTATTCATAATTGTTAAAATCGTAATCTGTGATTGTCATCCATTGTGAATGCTACTGCCTTTCTTGTTGTTTAGCCGTTTTCCGTGATGTTATTGTTTTACTTTTGTTGTTAAGTTTTGGTAAATATGTCTTCATCAATAGTCTAACTTATTACACTTACAATTAGAATTTATCAAAACACACAGATAGTTTCAGTTTTCGTTCCATGTTGGCTTGGGACTAAAAGATGAATTTATAAAATGCTGGCCTCATCTCAACCCCGAGGTATCATAAAAAATGGAAAATTGCCCAGCTCTTTCAGACTACCTAACATTCAAAGTTTCAACAAAACTAATATAGATTTTTTAAATTTATCTTGAAAATAAAATGTTCTGCACTGCTGCTTCTATGACCCTCTTTTTTCTAATGTTATAGTGAATGGAGTATAGAAGGCGTAGCTTAACTAGAAATCACTTATTATTAAGAATAGCGTAAACAGATTTGTTGTTTCACCAAACCTGTAACATTAGGTAATGCCTTAGTAAGCATTTGCTTAGATAAACAACGGCCTTTACAATTAAAGAGACAATAACAAAAATATATATTTTGAGGCAATAAAACAACAAAAATTATACGTGGTCCTTTATTTACACGAGCACCCAAGTTGTCATTGTCCATATAGAAGAATTGTGAAAATTTAAACAAATCTCATGTTTTATATCATAATTCTAACATGTGAACTCCTTTATTCCAACTTACTAAATTTATTGTAAATATAAATAAATTATTAAAATTTTATGTCGGTATTTTGCGATCTTTTCAAGTTACAAACTAGGACGTCCTCTCGTAGAAGCAGTATAAAATAAATTGTTTGCTACTTTAGAATTGCTTCCAAGAAATTGTGCGTAGTATTTACCTTTTAGTTCAAAGATATGCCACTAGATGGCAGTGGACCTATCATAAAATTCTTGGTTCGTAGATTTAGTATGCTTACTTTACGCATAGGAGGAAAACTAGACTTTCAGAATGTTATTTATTAACAATATTTAGCGTTGGAGTAAATTAACGCTGAGACTGCACTTAGTATTAGTCAAAATTCATATTATTAAACAGAGACTTGGCAAAGGTTCACCTAGTACGAGGTTCTACGGGAGTAATACTTACTCCTCGAAGGTAATACGTTTGCTTATTCACTATATAATATGAATTTGGACTAATACTTAAATTGCAATTTTAGCATATATTTACTCTGACGCTAAACCTTGTTTATTAATATCACTGTAAGGTTGTAAGCTCAGATTAATTAAAAAGGTTGTGTGCTTTAAGATTCAAAATAATGGATTAATTTGGCTCTGTCTTCATCATAGAGTATATAAAGTTTTCTCCACTCAAGAACATTATTCTTTATCATTTACTTAGTACTTTTTCTTGAATAAGAAAAAAACATAAACGTCCAACTATTATTGTAACCAACACACGCTTGGTCCATCAGAAGAAGCCAGTTATAAATAACACATGTTTTTGAAAACAATAATTAGTGTTACAATTATGCTTCCAAGTAAGCGATTTACGGCCGGCTTCTGAATTGAGAAAAATCTCAAAATATCAACTGATTATTCTCTATAACTTAATTTTTTTTTGCGTTTTACACACCAAAAAGTCCTGCTTTCAATAATCATTACCTGTTTAAATTTAGGGCTTGACTTAAAATTAGCGATTGAGAATTCTTTCAAAATTTAAATTATATTCTCAATGTTTTAAATCTATACTGACGAATATTGGAATATACTAAATTAATATATAATAAAAAGATACAACCTTGAAGCAATATTTTTTATCAAGATAAAAAAAGACAAAAATGATAATTCCATTCACTGTCGCGACATCATATGAGTTTAAGGAAATATAAATAAACCCCCGTACATATCAGTGGCATGAAAAATTTATTTGAGTTTCTTTTAATTACATTATTAATACTATGCTAAAATAAATACAGAAATTGTTCGAATAATTCTTCATCTTATTTATATGTTCAAATTCGTTTAAATAATAATGGGTAATTTTATAATGATACATAAAAGCTTCTAGCCTATTTATTTATTTACAATTCAATTAATAAATTACTTGTATTTAAAGTAAATATAACGGTGACTTATCTTTTAATTAGACATTGCTGTTGGTAATAAATTACTAATTAAAATATTGTCACCTATTTTAAATTACAAAATTCGGAATATTTTTTTAAAATGGATAATCATCTGGGTATAATAATTAGAAAGATATTTTAGTTAAAAATAAAATCGAAAAAGATAAATATGATAAATCATTAACAAATTTAAAAAAATCTGATATGGAAGATATGCTTCGTTCAAATGAATCGATACATTTTAAAAACTAATTGCGCCGAGTGAAACGTATCGACAAATAATTTCTTTTATACATATTTTTAATATATATATTTAAGGAATATTCTTTAAGAAGACTGAAAATTTATATTTATAATCGTTACAGATAACACTGCCCCATACATTTCACTTATATAAAATAATTACAAACACTCCTCGAATTTAAAATGTAGCATAGATAAAATATCAAATTCGAACATTATTGAAGAAATCAATGAGATCATTGAACATCCTATACAACAAAAATAAGCTAGCAAAATACTATACAAAATCAACAAATCATAGGAACATATAAAGCTTACAAACAAGGAATATGCTACCATTACTTTTAGTAAATATAAGGGCAGTGTTATATATAAAGATGTTATTACACTAATACTTAAAACTAACTCGACGGCGGAAGATATTGCGCCATGCCTTGCCAACGTTGGTCACTGCAGCAACGAAATTACAGTTATTTATATAAATTACTTTATGAACAAATGTATGGAAGGCTAGGGAGTAGGTGTTGAAGGCACGCAAAGTGTATTTACAATTTGTGTTGCAAACGTTGGCTCGGCAGTGCAGACTAGATGGCCCCGTGATAGACGCATCATTAATTGAACAGAAATACGGTACTTCATCGAATTTTATACTTAATACTGATTTGAAATATAAACTCTCAATATAAACTTTCAAACATAATCAATTTGGCTGTAGTGTTTTAATGTATTATCATGTCATTTGTCTAATTGGAAAACATACCTGCAGTTAAATAGTCAATAACGAAAACATGCCTTATCACGGAACCGCCTATATATAAGATTATGGTAAGGAACCATGGCTGAAATAGTACGGTACGGTTTCCAACCACAAACAAATATGATTTGTGTATTTATGGATCTAAAACAAAAACAGTATAAACGAAAACAAATGAAAACTCACTTAACATAACATACGATTCGTAGTACAACAAAATTTCAAATTAAAATTTTGGGAAAAGCTAATGTAGGTCAACTATTATAATCTCTACTAAAATACTTTATATCATTTGGAATCGTTTCCCAATCCTCTGCAATAAATTTGTTCTTCTTTGATATTCACAGTAATTGTATATGTGTTACTCCAACATAGTTGAATCAATATGTTAGTAGTTGGGAACGTTTGGCATGATTCAAAATTGATATGTTTATTTTTTTGGAAAACTTATTTGGTGACGTGAAGCTGAATTTAAATGGTCCACGTTTGAGGTGAATTGGATAAGTATTGGCAGGAACGTAATGGTCTCAATAATTACTTATCACTTTATTAAATTTGATTTCATCAAAATAAAAAGTGGACTGTCTTACCTCTAAAAACGAAAATAAACTAAAGCTTTTATACTATTACGAACGAGATTTATTTACAAACACTAATCCTACAGGGTGTGACGTCGCATCGCGTGATTAAAACTATAACTATCAAATTCTAAATAGACTATCGTTTCAAAATATTCGGATAGAACTTTCGACTACATCAATGTACAAATAGATTCATTATCTACATCGGAGAATATGGAAAGACCCTGTTTCAACGAGACCTCGAACGAGCACTACGAAGTTCCGTCGCAGTAGCACTATAAGAAAAAACCACCGAGCAGGAAACCATTTAGGATTTCGGAAAACCGAAACGATACGGTCAAAGATAAAATGACCTTCGGGGCGACACCGGGAGAAGCTCCGAAGTCCTCGACTTAAAATACATCTGATTGCACAAAAGAAAAGAAGCTAAAGCGTTCACTGGGTCGCCTCAGCGGTGTGGTAGTGCGAAGGGTGGTAGCGCCAAACCTGCGGCGGCGAGTACTCGACGGGCACCTCCTGCGCGGCGCCGCCCGCGCCCCACATGAGCACGGTCTGGCGCGGCATCTCCGCCGCCTGCTGCGACTGCTGCAGCCGCTCCTGCTCCACCGACCCGCTCGACGCCCCCGACCCGCCCGACGCGCCCGGGCTCGGCCCCGCCACCGCGCCCGGCGACCGCCGCTCCTGCCCCGTCACCGGGCTCATGTACCTCCCTCCTCCGTCCACATAAGTGTACTCCCGCGACGGCGGCCTGTGGTACGGCGCGACTTCATACCCGGGCGGTGGCGCCGGTTCTAAAAACCCGTTCGGCGCGTAAGGTGTATAGTGGTACGAAAGAGGTTTATACTGGTGGAAGAGGTTGTCCGCTGTTAAAAATCTGTCGTCCAGCGGCGGCGGAGCGTAGTGCAGCGTCGGCGCCGGCGGGTACTCCCCGTAGGGGGCCGTGTACGCGCCGTTTAGATTCGTGTACGCCGCTGCGACGGCGTCCGCCGCTAGATAGTCGACGGGCGGGGGCGCCGGCGTCGTCGGCACCCGTCTCTTATTTCTGCACGTCGACAGGAAATCCCGCAGCTGCGTTTTGTATCTCCGCGCCGCTTTCGGTGGCGTCGTGATGCCCGTTTCACAGCCGGACAGCTGCTCCGACTCCGAGAAATATAAGCTGGTCAGGCCGGTATCGAGGTAGCTAACTTTGAAATCCATTGTTCTTTTTCCTAGTAAATCTCGACCTTCCTCCTCCCTGTGATTTAAGAAGAACTTTCAATAAGTTCTAATGAGAAAACAAAACGTTAAATAAGCCATTGGTCCTGGTTTTGAACTTTATAGGCAAATATCATATTACTCAAATTGTACTTTGTTAATAAGATTATTTGATATGAGTGAGACCTTTCATGAAATTATTTTAAGTAAATACTTTTATGGCATAACATAATTTAGGACTTTTATATACTAACATAAGAGGGCGATGCGTACTGATGACGAAGTCTGGCTTGGAGTTCTTATAGACGAGCCGCGACGAAGTCTGTAGCCATTGCCACTGACCATCTTTCGTCTGGAAGCGATACGCAATCATCCCGGAAGCACCTGTTTTTAATACTGAAACAAGATAAAAACAAACTGCTTATCTTCTGAAAATTACTTTTATTATTTGCATTCACAATGTACTTTACATACAGATACTATAAGTAAGAAAACAATCACTCTATTTACTAAAAATGTTTATATCTATTTACTAACAAGGTTTTTATGAAGTAAAACTTTTATTTCCTGAGTGATAGGGCTAGTTATAGCCTGCCTGAATCTCCTAAATATATTTAAATGTCTACATAGGAAACAAATGTGTTAAATGTACTTACATTCTTGATGAGCGCTTGCGACATAAGCTAAATCATCATAATGTACTAAGTCGTAGCCACCCATATTTGCTAACTCTGCATCAGTATATCCTAATAGCATTTTACCCCTGAAAATAAATAATAGGTTTATAACACTTTATTCATTTATATACATATATATTCAGTGACATCAAAGTCGGTATTACAAAGCTATATTTTTAGAAACGAATTGTCTACTAACTAATAATTTCTTTTTTTTTTCTTAGACCAACCCAATGCTCAGAATGATCATTACAAGGTATTCAAAAATCATTGAAAGATGCCAGCTAATGATAACTAGGACACGACTTATAATTGGTATAAAAGTAAGTACATTTAATTTCTTTTACCTTTGATCCATCGAGACTAGAGAAAGATCGAGCTTGTGCTTGCTCTTGAACATGACTTCCTTTTGAGGGATTTCAAGTAAGCTAGGAGGGCCGAAGGGTGCACAAATTGCGAAGAGTGCTAAGGGCGGCTCCTCTGTCTTCTTGTTCTGACCATGGAGCACCTTGATCCGACCCCGTATGTCTAATCTCTGGAAGTGAATGAACGATTAAAATATGTTCAATTGTATGGAAAAAAAAATGGAAGTGTCCACCAAATATATTTGTGCATCATCAGTATTATATATATTTGTTTGGAGCTGTGAGATTTCTTGCCAAAAGAAAGTAATTAGCTGAAAAATTTTAATTGTTATAGTCGATTGGTATTTGGTACTTGGTGAAAGCCCATGGATCGGCAGAAAAATAATGTTATTTTTTTTAGTTGTTATAATTACAGAATGGAATTTTTAACTTACTAAAAAACCTGAAGTATTATCTAGAAGACATCTAAACCGGACAGTGAAACTCCTCTCCAGCAAATGTGTCCGATCCGGTCGAAGAACATCCTGCAGCGTCAAGTTGCTCACTTCTGGTGGCAGAAACGAGTTCCAGAGCAACTGCCTCTGTAGCTCTTCCCGATCTTCCGAGTGAACCAGCTCGTATACCGATTGATGTACTATATCTGACTGTAATTAGTAAATTTTGATATTTGGTAAAACTTTAATCCAAATTTATGAAGAATTTATTTTGGTCTCTAATTGGTTGATTGGATAATAAAAAAGAAAGATTTGATAAATATTGCGAAATTATTATTATAACAAAATAAACTTATTTTACAACAAATCCAAATTCATCATAATGATAACAACATTTGACAAATTAAAAACATAGATAGTTGTCATAAAATTGCAAGTCATCAAGCACACCATAAATCAATAACCTATAGCGATAACCTTAAAATCGTTTTAGATATGATCATTAAAATATCATGTGTAACGAAGATGGACAAGTTAATTTTTGAATTGATTCAAGCGATTGACAATATTGTATCGACGAGATAGAGTACACCTTTGAATGTAACGAACAGCTATCCATTTCTAACACGTCATATAATAAAGAGCCGTGTAAACACTGTGGATAATGCGCAAACAGCATATGATGCATGCACAAAACTAATTGATAATCATTGGGGTTGCCCAAGGCTCTGAACTAGGCCCCCTTCTTTTCAACGTTGACATGTAAATGAATCATGAGTATACTAAAATATACGGTAAAGGTGGATAGGAAATGGGGTTCCTTGGAACAGGGCGATGTGAGTTGGAACATATTGCTATGGCATTAAATGTCAGAGGATGATTTGTTAGGTAATTGCTTTTTGTTCTCCATTTGGGGTAGGGTACGGTTGCTACGTAACTAGCCGATGTTTTGTTGATATGCCATTGTTTTGGCAAAACATTTTATGCGGTAATATTTTATGTAGGCTATAAATTATTCTTTTTTTGTCTTTCTATATTTTATTCTTTATTCGTAAGTATTAATTTTGTGATAAAAATATAAAAAGTTTATTAAGACTTGACGAATAACATAATAATATACTTATTTTGGATAGAAAGACTAGATTTTAAGAACATTTTAAATACAACCGATGTTAGAAGTGTCAATTTAACATATTTTAGGCTAGGCTAGAATTTATTGACCCCTCGTAATTATAGATCCATTTATAAAGGCCGAAGTGAAACATTAAAGCTTGGTAGGTACGGATCAATACTACGAACACCAGGTGTACGCTTCAAGCTAATCTATTCACTTTGCCTTTAGGGCGCAGATAAAACTATACGGGCAATGAAAATTAATAGTGTTCATTAGCAGTGATATTTTTTTTTCTAAGTATAGAGTTTTGATATACGAGTATTATCTTTGAGTTTTGATACGATACGAGTTTTGATGCAATGAGGTTTTTTAAAGTCATTATATCATTATACATCCAAATAATTGTCTGCTTATGTTTTATATAAAATAAAACAGGAAGAAAAAGACTAGCTGGAATTTTCACTGACACTTGTGTTTTTTGGTATATTTACTTTACTGTTTTTATTTTGTTTAATTACCCAATGTTTAGCATTTAAACTTAAGTGCATGTTAACTGTTTAAATTTATACAAAATAACAGTTGTATTAAATTAATCATTATATCAACATTATGAAAATTTGTAACGGTGAAGATAACACAACACCCACATACTGAGACTCATTGTACGAACCACTTAGTCATGGAGTTCATAACATATTTTTAAAATAATTTTCAATTTTTTAAACAATAAATTAAATAATTAGGTATTTTTAATGAATATTTTTGTAGAGTAGAAAAGATATGTTGACTTTTAACACGGAATACAGAGAATAGCAAAATTACGCCCCTAATTTTAATATAAAATTTCTGTCATTTGATTTGTGCAGGTGATGGTGGTACACAATGTTAAACGACACGTGTCCAAACCGATGGGCAAGTACCAAGCTCCATTTAATGATTCCCAAATCGATTAACATTAATCGCAAGTCAACTCCCCATACCGCACAGATTCATATATATCACCTTTCGCAGATAAGACAGTTGGTATAAAGCCCATTCATAGATACATGTGGTCAATATTTGAAAAAGCGTAAAATAAATTATATATTGAAGATTTCCTAACTTTAAAATTCACGAAAATTCACTAACTGTGAATTTTTATGCAGATTCAATGCAAATCTTGAACAAGAAACTAGTAAATAAGTTATATAAGTATTAGTGTGCGATTTGTTCAAATAAAACAAAAAAAGGATAGGATTTCGTAATTAAGTTAATAAGTGTTCGAAACATCAATTATTTTTTAAACCTCTATTACAGAATCTATGTCGTACGTAGTCAGTACTAGCAATGCAATTCTATTAAAAATACAGAGACAAACGTGGTGCTGTCGTATTATTAAAAGTTCAATTAAATAAAAATAGGTTAGCGCTGTGTTCGACGAAACTAATAATATTACTATTCTAACAGAATAGTGAAGCGGGTCCTTCCACCAATTAGCGTTTTTTTTTTTGTTTAATATAAAATTTATATTTATATGAATGAAAATTTATATGAAAAAAATCTTCTAAAGCGTCACTTTTTCGAGCATAATATAAAAATTACTTTAATTTTGTCTAATTACAATAGGGATGATGACTAATTTTAGTTTGTCTGTCTGTCGGCTGGATCATTGAAGGATATTGAAACACGTTTTTTTCGGCTAATCAATAAATTACTGCGATACATTGAATTGAAAGGTCGCACGATGTCACTCCTTTGTACATTTCCTACATAGTTATGACGTAGCCAGCCCACACTCTACAAGTTTAATGCCTATTAACTAAGCAATTTCTTGTTTAATTGAAGCAATAAAAAATACGTATCTGATATTTTTCTATTTTCTAACTAAAGGACTAATTAGATATTTTTAATTAAGCATATCGCTATTTATTACTATTGATATCAGCAGAACTAAAAAAATAGTCCAATTGTATAACATTTAACGAAGAAGAAACATTAAAAACGTAGCTTTCCTCGATTTGCCATCTACAATATTTAATCTATCGAACAGTTGCTCAGGTAAACAGAGTCACTCGGTTGCCATCGAACAAAAGACTTAGGGTAGAAAAAGAATTATATATAATGTTAGCAACTGAAAGTTTTATAGAGTGAACGAATCACCCAACGCGGGGTTTTTTACTCCTGATAGCAATATTTCACTGGAACTTTATTAGCTTTAATGCGAGGGCATTTATTAACGAGCCTTTTAATGCTCGCTTTTTTTATGTCGCGCCCCGTTAGGGTACCTTCGCCATTGATCGTTTTATGAATTTTTCGATTTGATTAAATGTAAAAGCCGGATACAATTACGAATTTTGAACTCGTGTTAAAAAATATATTCTAAAACTATACAAAACTAGAAATATTTCTTCTTTCTAACATTTAAATTGTTTTATTTATTAATAGGTTGTCTATGCAGTTGTAAATTTCATTTATTCAGAATAATTTAGGCATTTGAGTATATTGTATTTCATTATTTTGATAGCTGTTAAGAACATATGCTAAAAGTGTTATTTATATTACCTTAAAAAAAGATTAAAAGAGGTTGCCTATTTCACTGTCAATTCGTCGATTTTGGAGAATCTTTATTTAAATAGTTTTTTATCTGGATAATCAACGGAAACATCATCGATAAGCCAGTAACTGATCCTTTAATAAGCTTAAAGTCTTTTAAGGTCCAGTTATCGTGAGTAATTAATATTTTTATACAATAATCAACTACGCCGAATAATTAAATTGGGGTTGGCGCTTGCCGCAAGTTCTTATCTCATTCTTTTTTTGATTAATAGCTCTACTTTGCCGTATATTTTTTAATAGGCGTTATAATGTTTTCGTAATTTTTGTAATGAATGGGTGACTTTTTTTAATGTACGACGAAAAAGAAATGTTAGAATAATTTAATGATATTATTACGAACACTAATGATTTTTTCGTAATATAACATCTCGTTTGACTTCAAGTTACGTCCAAGCTAAGATAAAATCAGCTGTTTTAATACTCATTAATAATAAAGCTCTGTTTTTTATCCCCGAGAATAAAAAAAGTTTCAATTTAATTGATATTTTTTTCAATGTAGTTTGTATATGTCATTTCATTCTAAACTCTGTCTTATCGTTAAGGGTCATATATGGATCACACGTTTAGACTTAAATAAAAGATGTTTATGACCTCAAACAATGGCAATAACTTGGAATCGGCATGCAAGCCACTAAGCAACTGTCTACAGTGTAGACAGTTGCCTGTAGACTCTACAGGGTACTATTCTAGTATTTATATTAGATATTCAAATTAAAGTTTTGGTATCTGGGAACAAGTAGTGATGTAATAGCTGTATATACTTTATATTACTTGAAAGAATGTATAGAAGAATAATATAGTATTTACCTGATGGAAGCCTAAGTAACTCTCGATGCTATGCGTCGCGAAGAACACCTCGCCTTCGCACGTGAGAATCATCAGGAATCCATTGAGGGCCTGAAATGAGAAGATATTATGGCATTATTTACATTATTATGCTAGATAACAGAATGTTGAATACAAATGATTGAACCAAATAAAAACATATATATTTTATTATATAAGTATGTAACACTTAAAAATGCACTATCTGGCTCTCTACTACCGGGACTGGTGAATATTTAAGTATTTATGGTGTTCTGTTATAAAAACATCCTCTGTCTCGTCGACGAACTCAGCGCTGTCTCAACTTGAAAGGTAATAAAGGTTTTATTTCATTGAAGCTCAAAGACGTGACAGCGCTGCTTTAGGGTATACTTTTTAATCTATTTTTTGCGATACTTTAGTATTAATAGAATGCATCTTTCTTTCTAAACTAACCATTTTTTGAAAAAACATTAATTACCATAATTGCTTATTTTTACTTATAACTATAATCCGACTTTCCCTTCTTAAATAAAAAAAAAACTAAGTAAACGATTTTAGGGAATATAAAAAAAACCCAAATTTTTATCAGTATTTAGCGAAAAAACGTCATTTGTTATTCATCCTTAAGGTGCAAATCGAATGTCTTACGCTTTATAAGCGACACATTTTCCTTCGGGCGAATAAGGTCGAATATCTTTTATACTAATATTTTCACAGGTAAAGTTTCTAACATTCTTTCTTTCTTGCTTTGTAGGGGATAATCTTCTGAAATATTAACCTTACCATGAAAACTCATCTACGAAAACATACATCATATGCGGTTAATTTATGCAGACGAAGTCGCGAGGAAACCTCTAGTCATATAATATGTGAGTTCTGAAGATCCGCGATCAATTACCCAAACTATAATTAAATAGTATAGATTAAAGTTGATAAAGTATATTTTTGAAAATTGTTGCTACCTAAGTTTCGGACTATAGTATTGCAATGTTGTAGTCGGTTAAAATTTTCAGAAAGTCGGCCCGCGACGCGCCTTAACATGAACTAAGTTCTCCAAATACCGTGTCTCGTTTCCATTATCCATCCGACTTTAGATACCTTGTTATTAACGTTTAGTAAAATAAATATTATATCAAAGCGAGCAACTCACTTTTCGTGTCGGATTTTGATTAGTCAGTTCATCTCACACAACACTCCTAAAGGAACTGGTGGTAGTTTACGGTAGCCATGGGTAAATAAATAAGTAAATTGTATTTTTGAAAAATATTGCGTTCCCATTAATAAAAAAAAAAAAATGTATTATGAATGTGTCCAATAGTATTGTTTTGAAGATAGCTATACTTACTCTTAATTAAAAAGACAATCAACGCCTTAGTCTAATATGAACACGGAACCTATAAAGAGTCCGAAACGTCAATAAAAGAAAAATACAAATGCAACGAAACCGTTTCAAAGTTGTTTCATTTATGGATAGTGCGCGTGAAAATTTAAGAAAACAATATTTAGTAAAGCCTTTTGATATCATGTACTGATTATGAATAAGCGGCACTAAGTTAGTCCATTGTGTGACTTTTTACTCTCTTTTTTTCTTATATCATAAACACAAAGTGAAATAATTTCATAAAGAATAAAGACATACATAGAAATAAGAATATACAATATAAATCTACTAGATAACCTTTGGCTAAAGGAAATTATACCAACTAAGAAAAGGGAAGTTATATGTACTATTTATATAATACAATTATTTTATTTCGACAACAGAGGGCAAAGAGAATCTTAAAATATATTAAAATAAAGGTTGCCATTTCTCTCTTCGTGCCATTATTCGCCAGCGCGTCGTAATTACTAACTCTTTGAATTTAAAAAAATCTGTTCTTTTTTATTGTAATGCGAAAACCGTGCTGTCTTTTAACAATGGAAACGTATGCATGCGGAATGCCAAGTCGAAAACGTTAAATATGAAATACGTAGACTGAGAAGCCTGATATTTATAGCCTCCGTTCACATTGATATATTATCGAACAAATATTCCACATATTCAACAAACAGAATTCAGCCTTCTGATATCTACCCTATTAAGGTAGGTATACTAGGTACTGAATTGAAATTTTGATATATATTAATGATATGAAATTTCATCGACTCCATCTTTGACTTATTGAATGTTTTATCATCTTTTTTGTAAGCATATGATGGAAAAACGTGATGCGAATGCTTTTGATATTATTAAGCGTCTCGTGTTTAAATTTCACATTAATTTGAAATTACTGTTTTGAAATGTCGTCATTATATAGAAAAATTGGTGCGATACATCTGCAGTAATATTTGATTGACCAAAAACGGTTAATAATTAAAAAGAACACCTGTCACCCATCCAAAGTTGATCACGCCAATAGTTGCTTAACATTAATAATTGTCTCACCTGAAGGAACATCTCGCCGTCCGGCATCGCGTGATCGTACGGTGAATGTTCCCGCCTGTGCCCGTGGATGTCCTCTTTGTCTTTGTGCATGACAACTGAAACAAAAGACAAGCAAGTTAATTGGAGCGTTTAGACAGTTTTAAAATAGTATTATATGATATTATTAGTTTTCAGCTAGCGGCTTTGCCCGCGTTGTCCTGTATTATACATAAAACTCTCTTTTCGTATAACCCTATATGTTACAAAAAACCGCATCAAAATTTACAGATCTAAGCATACGTATTATACAGAGCTCGATGGCACAGTGGTTAGCGCGCTCAGTCTGCGGATCCTCTGTGTTTCGGAAGGCACGTTAAGCCGTTGGCTCCAGTTGCATCTGCACTCGTTAATACCCATCAAGCCGCACTGAGCCCGGGTGGTGGGCCATGGCCCATTCTTCCTATTCAATTTGAAGTCTGATACGTGATAATGAAGATGAAGCATACATAGGGACAGACAGACAGAACGTGACTTTGTTTATTCTACGTATTCATGTAAACAATAATACGTGGAATAAACAAAGTCGCTTTCTCACCATCAAAAGAGGTTATGTTTCATTCTTTCAAAAAATCTGAATCATCTTTTCACCACTTTACTAAACTTTCAGAAATCCAGAAACTTCCTTAATTATCAACGAATCAGGATATATGCCAATTTTGTAAAACTTATCATGGCTTTAACTGTTAATTAGATCTATCAAAGGTAAATATCATTATAATTATAGATCAAATAAAAAAGTAATAAATGACTTGTCGGTAATTCTAAAAGTAAACACTTTTATGTAGCCGACATTTGATCCAGCCTTATCTTGAACATGCATTTTAGAAATAATACCGTAAGTTCAAATATAATTTTCTACTTGATAATTGTTGAGACGCGGCTATGAATAAAGTGGATATGGTCATTCTGATATATAAAATGTACAAGTACATCATATGTAAAAATGACTTTAAAAGAAAATATTTATATTTTCCTATAGTAAACAGTCGCTCAAGAAAAAACAAGTAGAATGATTTGCCTAATTTTCTTTTTTAAATGTTTTTGAAAAACTCAAGAATGTATTAACATAAATAGGAAAGGAACCTTGGAGATTTACTTTTACTGTATTTTTCATTTAATTTAAACGATATTAATATGTATATATCGCTGCATCCAAATCTACGTACTGTATTATTACGTTAATAATATAATAAGTATTCCCATTGTAAGTACGATTACATTGGGAATACGTAATAGATTATTGCATCAATGAGTACCTAATAATATAAAAGCAATTTAGATTAAAGTTAATACCTATTCTTAAGAATTTATTTTATTATGATTTTAATAAAGAGTATGTTTAAGATTTTTATATTATCATTTCATCGCTATTTTCAAGACCACAGCTTTAGCCGAGTGACGTAAAAACGGTATCATAAAGTCCAGAAGGCACCTGCTTCTTATTAACTTCTGTGAAACCTCCTTTTGCACCAATCAAGATGTAATTGAAGTACTCGTAACAAGAATCGAATAAAACAGTTATCCGCGAATACCTACTATTTTTATAACTCAAAATAATAAATAATTTAATAACACTTAAAAGAAAGAGGAGAACGAAATGGACTTTTCACATGCTGCTGCCATTTTGAAGGTAAAAAAATTCTGACGATTCGGCGTGTACTGGTGTGCGGAAGTTCAAGTACGTTTTTATAGAAATAATTCTAAAATTCGTTTCTGATCTCTGATTAGGTATGGTAGATGAGGATAATGTGTATTTAGCCTTATTATAATAATTGTATTTGTAATATGCAATTAATTATATAAAAATGTTGTTCTATTCATTTCTAAATGATTTTTTAAGCTCTATAGTAACTAGGACCATAAAATAGATTATATTTTTCAATGTAACGTATTTATAAATATTCTTTTATTTTATAATGCCTGTCAGATGTCGTCACTTAAAAGTTTAAAATATACGATAGCGCTCGTGTTCCATAGATATCATATTTGCGTATCCATTGATTTTATGTGCGTAGATTGAAAGGCGTGGCCTGCATCATGGGACAAATCACATATCATCTTTGTGAAGGGGATGCTGTATTTTAGAGTGAGAAGGGAAATGTGCTCCATGAATACACCATCGGAAGAGTTATATTCCCTTGCACTGATCGGTAGGTATTATTACATCATATTTTCAACCCTCCAGAACATGTATGGCCTCTTTGCACATTATGTAGAGATTGATATCTTGAAAAGGATGATGACTGGGTAAAAATAAAAGAAATTGTGTTAAGTCCGTCAGTCAGATAATAGAAAAATATTAGATATATATATTTTTTTGTATCAATTTAACAAAAAAAATACTTTTCATAAACGACATTAAATATCCCATTAGCCGATTACCATAGACCTACAAAGAAAATATTTGTTTGGGGTAAATAATACAAGACTTAGAAACGCGGTAACAAGTGACACAAGTAATAATAAGTACCTTTTTCTTATTTGATAATTCAATATATGGAATATTACTCAAAGTTTAGTGTAAGTGGCAGCACTAACACTAGTAAAACACAACTAGTAAGTGTACAACTAGTAAGTATTCGAACACGTTGTCTTATGGAAATTAATTCCTTTTAGGTGAGGTTATTAACTTAATTTTTAATTAATTTTCTTTCTTTTCATTCAGAATATAAAAAAATACATATTGAAATACTACTATGCTCGCTATTACTTTACTCTTTGTTCACTACTCCGTGAATAGGATTTAATGTTAATAAAAAAAATATTTAATTTGATTGCTGGTGCTGTAGTGTTGTGACAGAAAGAAGCAGTAATAATGCCCATTTCATTTAGACCTCTGGTAGCTTAATTATAGCAACAGACACTCCTTTACGAGTTCATGTCCCATCAACAACAATCCCAGGCTTTTGACTTCTTAAAATATTTCTTTCTAATAAAGTGAACGATGAATTTCTTGAAGAATAATTCTAAAATTAATTGAGTTAATCCTATTAATATTATAAATGTGAAAGTTTCTTTCTTTGTATGTTTGTCTGGATGGATGTGGATTTTGATGAAATTAGCTACAACCTATAATACCCTATGTATTAGCTGATTTAGGGAATAGGATACTTTTTATTCCACTAAACATTTCCCTAGGGACCACGCGGGCGAAACCGATAGCGAAAGCTAGTTTCTTATAAGAACAAAAGCAAAAGGTTAACGACTAGTTAATTGATAGTTTAAGTCATTTAACATTCAGTAAGTAAGTAATTTATAATTAAGTATAGGTAACTTATCAATACTTGAACCATATAAGTCGTCACACAACTATAGTTCATAAAAAGTATTACCAAAAGGTTTCTTATTCTGCGTCTATTAGAAAAGATGATTGATATAATGCTTATCTTTAAGAAAACTAACAGATTAATGGAACTTTGATCTCTATTTCTTAGACTTAAAGTTCAATTAGCAGATAAAATGCCACTTTTAAACACGTGTGTTGGAGAAATGCTTTAATTATAGTTTTCAATAATAATGGATTGATTACATCCACTATTATTTAAGATATAAATTGAATAGCGTGAAAGGTTCAATTTTCATTTCACTATGTTAATTTTATGATTGATTAATAATATAACAACAGTTAGGATCTTTCAAAGAATTTTTTTTTAAAGCTTTTTGGATTCTTTGTTGGCTATGTGATTGCAAATGTAGGTATTATTTATTTAGATATTATTAATTTGAAACCATAACATCATTATCTAAAAATCATGGACTTTGCAAAGATTTTTAAAAGTAGGGATAAAAATGTCAAAATCGTAGTCTACTTTACGACTTTCAAGATTTAATTTACTAATACCCAGTTGCACAGACGCCCATTAAGGTTTAATGATAACATCAAGCTTTTAATAATAAATAATAATAATAAATACTCTTTATTGCACAAACCATATTAAAATTACATAAACAAACATAAATGAATACATGAAAACTTACAAAAGGCGGCCTTATCGCTAGGCAGCGATTTCTTCCAGGCAACCTTGCATTGGATGGAAAAAAAAACAAACATTAGATGGCAGATTGTGCATAAAAAAATAACAAATCAAGTAATACAAAATAAAACCAAATACAGTTGCAACAGCAAAGTATCATTAAAAAAAAGTACATAGAGACAAACAAAATGCTCAAAACACAAGTGACAACCAGAAAGCGAGAAGTGTAAAAAGAAAATAGAAGAGCAGGCTAAACGCTTTTGTCAATGTTCTAAATTTGAAAAATTGTATATGTCATTTCAACCTAAACCAATGATAATTTTAATAACGTTTCTGGGTAACTGTTGACTGGGTGTATACGATATTTTGGTTCCAAAGATTTCAATATAATATATAATGTTAATCCTATTAATATTATAAATGTGAAAGTTTTTTTGTTTGGATGTTTAGATGTTTGGATGTTTGTACGTCAATCACGCTTAAATAATATAGGGAATACAGATAGGGTGTTAGTTGACTTAGATAATAGGATACTTTTATCCCACTAAACATTTCCCTAGGGACCACGCGGGCGAAGCCGCTGGCGAAAGCTAGTACATAATATTTCAATAAAACATTAATCTAAAAAAAGAAAATGTATTAAAATAGTCATCTAATAATAAAGGGATATAGTCAGTATAAGGTAATAATTCCGCGACGTTCTGTCTTAAAAATAAAAACTAAATTATTATTTAAATCGAAATAATGTAATCACTCTAATAGACGATGTTATTATTTATTTATACCATAAACTATCATAGGAGTCGATCTCACGATCCTTCCGCTTGCAACTTGAAAATAATATCCACTACGTATAGTTGTCGTTAAATTAGCCCACTGCACACGAAACAAGGTTCTAACCAAACCTACAATAGTAAACACACGATGTGAGACATTTATTTTCGAATATCGACCTTATGACTTGGTAGCAGAAGTCAATATGATGTGCATAATGTAAATATTATCTTCCGATTTTCACTTTCGCAAATGCCACGACGACGGACAATATGGCGTTTGGGGTCGATTCGACCGGGCCAA